TGGTGGAGTGCCTTGACCATTCAAAGTAAGCCAGATTTGATGACTTCTTAGTCATACAGGAAATGTTTGTTTTACCTCTTTTTTTAACATTAGCTACATTTACAAACACCCAAATAAATGGATCGATAGCTCAATCAGATTGATAACGTTCATGTAAATAACTCAGTTGAACCAATTGAGCTCAACATGAATAAAAGCTGAGCATGTAAATGTTTGAATATGTCTTTTCAAGTGAATTCAAAAATAAGATCTTATTTTACATATGTTTTACTTCTAACGAACGTGCAAATTTTTATTTAAATCTTACAAACTTGCCAGTGGAATAGACTGAATATTGACAAAATATTTGCTAAAAATGGCAATTATACTTTCGGTAGCTTGGTGGTTTTCTCCAGTTCTGAATGCAATGACTGGGCATTGTACATGCACTGAAGCTTTGTTTGGAATACATAAATGCACAATGTGAATTGGAAAATGCAAACTTTAGGGTTCATAAAAAGATAACATTCAGAACCTGAAATTGGACTGTATTCATTCGAATTTATGAAAATTAGTGCATGTAAAGTACCTAGTGTGCTTTTGTCTGCAGAAGTAATGCAAGAGTGGCACTGAAGATCATCAAAAATATTGAGCGCTACCGTGAGGCAGCCTTGTCAGAGGTTGATGTGCTTGAGCGGATAAACTCGCTTGACGAGGAAAAGACATTGTGAGTGTTTGAATTCAGTGTAGAAATACTTTGTAAATATACAAGGTTTTTGGGCGTAATGACTTGCCTATATGTCTTCGCAGTGCTTGTGTCCGGATGCTGGACTGGTTCGATCACCACGGCCACATCTGCATAGTGTTTGAGCTGCTCGGACTGAGCACGTATGACTTCCTGAAGGAGAATGGATTCATGCCCTTCTCACTGAACCAGATCAGATGCATGGCAGACCAGATATTTAGAGCTGTGCAGTGTGAGTATAGACCAATTTAGAGTAGACGTCACAGTTACGTCACTTGCAGCTGCCCGCGCATAGTGGTTGCAGAAAAACACTGGGAACAAATGGAGATAAATGGGTAAAATCCATGGAATAAAATAAAAAATATATTTTTGTGCCTTTTGATCTCAAGATCGGAATGCAAATTATTTTTATAGAATACTGTTGTCAAAGACGCCATTTGAAGCTAAACGCAGACGTTTAAATGGACATACTATGGATGAAAACTGTTATGGTTACTCTACTTTTAAAGCATAAATTCGCTTTAAACAATAGGTCTACTTAATATTCACATATGCTGTTCATGTGTCTAAATATATATAAATCACTTTTTTTTGACATCAGTTCTGCATCGAAATAAGTTGACACACACTGACCTTAAGCCTGAAAACATTCTGTTTGTGGACTCCAACTACGACATGAAATACAACTTCAAGATGGTAAGTAACAGCATAATAAAATGTCATATACTATAATTCAAAAGTTTGGGGTCAGTAAATTAATGCCAAGGGCACATTACATTTATAAAATATATTAATATACTACAAAAGATTTATATTTCAAATAAATGCTGTTCTTTCAAACTTCTTATTCGTTCTGATTTAAGGAACCCTAAAATATGTATTATGATTTCCAAGGAAATATCAAACAGCATTGACCCCAAACCTTTGAGCAGTAGTATATGTCTGTAAGAAAGCAAGTGTTAGTTTATAGTGAGGAGAGGATGATGGCAGTTAATGTTCAATGTATTACAGAAGCGTGATGAGAGGACCTTGAAGAGGTTGGATGTGAAAGTTGTGGACTTTGGCAATGCTACCTATGACCACGAGCACCACACCTCTGTGGTGTCAACACGCCACTACAGAGCTCCGGAAGTTATTTTGGGTAAACTGTTTGCACTATTATTTTTGCGGTTGTTTATCCACTAAAACATGTTCATGATTTTGAACATTGCAAAATCTCTCCTGGCAGAACTTGGCTGGAACCAGGCATGTGACGTGTGGAGTTTGGGCTGTATCCTGATTGAGTTCTATCTGGGATTAACGTTATTTCAGGTGCAAATTCACACATACATACTTTATTATTTTACTTAAATGCAAAATACTTACAAAAACTCCCTCTTTTTCTTAGACTCACGACAGTAAGGAGCATCTGGCAATGATGGAGAGGGTTCTAGGCCCCATACCTGCACACCTGCTTCAGAAAACCAGGTGCAGTATCATAACTTGAGACTAGGCGTTTATGTCACTTGTTTCTAAATACACGTTTCTGACATGATCAACGATATGAGAGGTTTTTAGATTTGTCATGGTCTGTCTTTGACTGATGCGTGACTGTGCTTCATTGTCAGGAAGCGGCGTTATGTGCATCATGACAAATTGGACTGGGATGAGCACAGCTCAGCAGGGAGATACGTGAGGAAACACTGTAAACCTTTAAAGGTAAAGATTTCAAACATTGAACTGCTTATTATGCTTAGTCTTGATTACATTATGCTGCAGATACTGACTCTTTATAAAAAGCTTTGTTCATGCAAACCAGTTTATAATATCTATAGCCTTCAAAGCATAGGTGGAGGGTGGACCAACTCCAGGGTAAGGCTAAAAGCAGGCAAATCTATTAACTATAAACATCATAAACCCGTCTTTTTAGGCAAGAACCAGACATGGGTGTCATGTAGGCTAATAAAATATGTTTAATGGGACTGAATTTGTATTTAAACGTGATTACAATTTAATAAAAAACATTAGAAATCGGTAATTATAAAACGTTTCCTTTCAAAGGTTATTCAAACTGTGAATAAAGTATTATACAGAAATTGACATTATCACTAACTTTGATCTATCGCGAGTTTAAGCACTCAAAAAAAAAAAAAACTATCGTTATAATCACTTAAGCTGTCTACACTGTTAAATTAATTTCTTACTTACATTGTACATACATCTGCGCGTCCGGAATTCAGTCAGCGAACGGCAGGCATTAAAAACTGATGAGTTTCAGCGATGACTCATCTGAACGCCTCTGATTGGCCATTGCATTCCTAAGATCAACAGAATCGTGTGTGATTGGTTATAATGCGCAACACTGTAAAAACGGCTAAAATGAAATACGGTGCAACATGAGCAGATCTTAATTTAATGCCGCAATCGACACTTTCTATTCATTTTCATTTTGTTAGCAACAGTCATAATAGATTTAATTTGTTTGTGCAGGGACATTTTTGCCCCAACTCGCTGTGGACAGGGGAAGGCTTACACACGCTCCGCCTATGCCTCAACGTTGTTTTTGGTCACTTTGTACTGTTTATAAGCACAAGTACAAAATGTTAAAGGTTTTGGAATGAAAATACTGAATGTTTTTCTCTGAAATTATGGTTGTTTTTTTGGTGATACATTCCAGTGGTCTTTAATTTTTCCTCCAGTAACTGCGCTGTATGTTTAATACTTAATTAAAAGTCTTGTGGACTACTAATTTTGGAGATGTACTGATGCCAGTATGTTAATGAGACACATTTCTGTTTGGTTTGCCTTGATGAAAATAATGTAGTTGAATCTCTGCTCCTTACTCAGCAATACATGTCCTCTAAAACCCCGGATCACGAGCTGCTTTTTGACCTGCTGCAGAAGATGATGGAGTATGATTCTTCCAAACGAATCACCCTGGAGCAGGCCATTGGACATCCCTTTTTCAACCCCATAAGAAAAGAAAGAAAGTGACTTTGAGGCGACACAAAATGAACCTTACTGCTCCCAGGGAGACTGCTGCTGACTGTATCAGTCTGCTTTAAGACTGCCTGCATCATTACCTCTGTCTATATTTATTGTCAATTTGATTATATGGGCCAAATTTATCTGTACTTTTGGCAAATTAAACTTGAATGCTTTGAATACACACCATTTGTGACTTTATTTAGTCATTCTTTTTAATAATACTGAACTGACATTCAGAATTAGTGTATAGTGATGCAGAATATCAGGATCTTTTTCCCCAGTTAGTGCTATTATAATCTCTGTCCTGCAGATGGCACCAAAAGGCCTGTTCTTTACAAATGCTCTTCTAGTTCTGCAGCCTTCTTTAGTTCTGATGTATTTTTGAGCAGAGCACATGGACATCATGTGGGGAAAATCTTGAGATTTTGCAGGATGAAATGCAAATAATCTTTGTTGCAACTAAATTCTGTTTTTATTACAGACGGATACAAACAATTCCTGCAATAAAGCACTAATAATTTGACATTCAGAGGCACATGTATTGTGCTATGCTCAAAAAAGTCATCCTTTGACCCTTGCGTGTGTTTAATGTGAGTTTATTTTGGACACTCTGCCTTGTATCTACAGTTTTCTTGTTAAGTTCAATTTGCGCAATCGAAATGGTGTTTTGGCGCATAAAGCGCAGTGAGGTTAAACAAAAGTTCTGTTTTGGACCTCTAGTGGTTGAAGCATGAAACTACGAATTACTCGCGAAGGAACAATTGGTTTGGCAATTACTTGGCTTAATTTTTGCGAGACATCACAAAGAAAAAATGAAAGGAGAAAGAAAAAAGACATAGCCTATCATGTTTTTAACCAAGCCTTCTCCTTGCCATACATGCCATATATTAGCAGGATCTTTCATTTGCTATACATCAACTATTGGCATTTTTTCAATGTTAGAGGGTAAACGTTTAAGTATTTTGTTTATTTGTGTTTTTGTTTATATTTGATGTGTGTTTCATAATAAAATCTTAAACATGGACAGTTCTTCGAAAGCGCTTATAGCCTTATCTCACTTTTGTGTTCACTAACGTTGGAAACATATAGTAAAAGAATAGATGCTCTTAAGACCCCCGTCATCCTTTTGTTTGTTCCTTTTGACCTTTGGGGCGAAGAGGGGCACACACACACACACACTATTCGCACTCTGTCGTTTACATAGTTTTGTTGACGGCAGTTCAGCAGCGAAAAAAAGGGGCTGACTGGATTCTCTGAGACACACATCAGAGGGAAACGATTTAACCTGCGCTCGAGACCCATAGAGGCTCGCGAACGTCAGTAGCTCTCTTCTAGTGTGCGTCACATCGTTGCGTCTCCTGTAAGCCGAAGTTACTCTGAAGCCAGAAACGCCACTTTACTGAAATAAAGGTCTACACGAGTCTTAAAAGAGGATTCAAGAACAAGGATAATATTTTAACCATAATGCCAAAAATGGTTTCAACCGGGGATTCAAAAGATGCGTCAAAGACATCACAGAGCAATGGACATTACACATTACAGATATTTCATTGTTTAACGACCCTCGTATGCTTTATGTTGTCGGCGTCTTCGGTGGCAGTTTGTCTGCTTATGAACGTCAAAACATCTTATCTTGAGCGTAAAATTGAGGTTCTAGAGATGGAGCGACTGTCTGTGATTCAACCTGTGCACACGACACTGGATGCGCACGCGACTTTTCGGGATGCGATAGAGAAACTTGTGCAAGAGGTATGTCGTCTATGTTTTTATTAATTCTCGCTACACTTTTACAAGCATTACTACAAAAAAAGTCAAATTTCTGTCTTTCAATATTGTTTTTTATGGTTTATATATAACATTTATAATGTTCTAACATATTTATTAGGCTATGTAACGTATGAAGTGAAATGTTCCGTCTTAATTGATTTAATAGGTGTTTCCCAAGTATTTTGAATTACGTGTACTGTTTTAGGATTAGCTAAATAAAACATCATTAAACTTAACTAAAAATATCCTGGTAATTTTAAATCACCAGTGTATATATGTAGTAGTCTATATCATATAAATATATATATTTGTTTTCTCAGAGACTAAAAGAGGGAGTGTCGAAAATTCGCACCGCTCGAGAAGCAGCGCAAGAGTGCTCGTGTCCTCCAGGTTTGTTTCTCTGCATGAGATGTTTTTATGTTCTTTTCCCTCCTAAAACGATCAACTAAAGCATATTCGCTCTATTTTTTATATCAAAATCTGAACTATGCCTTAAATTGGGTCAATAAATGATGCAGCAGGTGCCTCTCTAGCATGTGATGTTGATAAGAATGTTCAGTTCAATAGGGACTGGTCTTGTGAAGCTGTTTGCAGTTGTACTTTTTGCAGGTTGTACTTGCATTTCATTATTGCAGTCTGTTTTTCAAACTTACGTTTAATGCTAAAGTTATAACCTGCAGTAGGAATTTAATTCCAGATGAAGAAAATCAAGTTGAAACTCTGAAAACTCGATAAAATCGATACGAAACGACAGAAATTATTATGACAAGTTAAATGGATGGACACAGAGATGTTGTAAAAAATGTTACAAGTGTCAGTGTTCTGACATGTCAGTGTGACCACATGCAGAACCACAGCTTATATACTTCATGCTGAATTAAATAACTCACATGTGGAAATTATAAAGATGCGAGTGGCGCTCCTCTGTCCGCAGAGGCCGGTGGATGCCACAGATTTATTGTGTAAGCTCAGCTACGAGACATTAAAATTCATTGCCAGCTATCGGTGCAAAGTAGGGGATAGACAGAGGATACTTAACCTTGTATGAATTTGTTGCTCTGTTCTTATGTTTTAGTCCTTGGAAATTGGGCTGTTGCCTGAGAGAAAATGACAGGTTTATTCCAACACTGTTTAAGAGACATACCCTCTTAGGGCATAGTGGAATTATGCATGGAGAAATTTACTAGCCTATGAAGATTTCATGGTAGCGGTGCCTACCAAAAGAGGGCCTCCCATGTACCCTCTGATGTTGTTGCTAAAATGTGGGTATAATTTAACTTGTAGCCCTGTCCCATAGGACACTACAGGTTCAGTTAAACTCAACTCAACCCTAAAGCTCTTTTATCTTTTTTCTCTGTATTCTTTTTCAAGGACTGGTTTCATATCTATTCATATATAACCTTATCATGCACATTGTTCCTTTCCATGCTTCAAATTTTGCCATGAGCAAAGAGCATATGTAGAGTTTTGCTTCTCATATCGTCATCCTGAGGTATTGTGGCTAGAAATTAAATCCAGTCTTTTTCATCCCTGATATTGAAATATCAAAGTGGATAAAAGAATAGAAGAAAGAACATGAAAGACATCAAAAGTCATCTTGTAAGATCAGTGAACCTTGATATCTTAAAAAGTACTTGTTTTACTGACATTGTTTTACTGTTTTATTCATTTATCTTTGGAGGAACCATGATGAGTTTTGTGTAGATCGTATTAACATTTATCAAATACTTAATACTTCACTGGCGCTTGGTAAGGAAACCATCATCATCACTAGAATTAAAAACAAGAGATGTTCAATCACTTTTCTGAGCAATCAAATGACTTACACCTGACATATATATAACAGGCAAACAATCCCATATACTTACACTGAAGGAGCCTCAACTGGGAACCAGAAAATAATACAGGTCACATAAACAGTGAGCTTTATGATATTTTTTATCATTTATATTTGATAATTCACTGTTTACATCAAAATAGTAAATAGTCAGTGCTATTCAAGTAAAATTGAGCTCTTTTTTAATGCTCATGGGAGCCTTTTATCGGCTGTTTCACAAATTATTTCATGACACTTGTTAAGGGTATCTATAATTTACAGGCTGGCTGCTAGTATAATATGGACATTTAAATATGTAATTTACTGTGATATAATGTTTTTTCTGCTCTAAATATACTTTTTTTTTAGTTGAATGGTATTTGTTTTCATTGTACTGAAAGGTAAGAGGCTTTTAAACAATTCTTCATTTTAAAGAATATAATTGCAGTTTGTTGGAAGTAAGAATTGTTTCTTAGTCCTTAACAGTGAATAGACTTTTTGTCTTCCTCACTTATGTTGCACTTCCTTTCTCTAATTAAAGGCTCAGGTGTTTTGGTGAATCAAACTGTTTTCTTGAGCTGAATGGTAAACCTGAGTCATCCGTCTGTGCAATTTGCTGTTCCTTCCTATGCTTTTAATGGGCTTCTTTTCAAGGCAGACATCAGAAAACACACTTGAACCACAGACACAAAAGGACCAAGACCTGCGGACCATGAGCTAATGAGCTCAACAAAGCAGTTAATTGACCCAGGCTTCCTAAAAGCTGAAGCCACTTAGACTTGGGCTTCCTCTGAACCTGAAATGACGACACTGGTCACTTAGAGCTCAAAATGAATGAGATACTGAAACAATTAGCCGCTTAGACACTTCCCTATGACATTTGAATTAATTGTAGCTACGAGTTAAGCAGAAATACATTTAAACAACCTTCATAATTCACAAATTATACCACTGGGAAAAAAAATGGTATGGTATATATTTTTTTTTTTAGTCAGTAAAATGTCAACCTTCTGTGAAATGGAAAGGTTCCAAGGATGTTAAGGGTTCTTGGAACCATAGATGCCAAAAAAAAAAAACTTATTTTCAAGTGTTTATGTACTAAAACACAAGTTTTGACCAACCCCTTCTATATGAGTTTGAGTTTCAAAACCCTCCCCTTTAAGTTGCACATGAATCTCTGTGATCAATGTGCTGCAAGCAGTTGACATTCATCCCTTTTGGATTTACTTGTGAGCATTTGTGAACTTGTCGTAATCATTATTACGGTCTTTTTTTGTAGTATTGTCTTGTCAAGGACGTAAAATATTACCAAATCGTCATTTCAAAGTGTTCTACTCTACATATTGCAACACAGCAAGAATCCCAGCCACATCACCAGAATACAGATGTTTGCATTCATTGCGAGACTCTATTGATAGATACCACATTCATAACAGAGTCCAATAATACAGCTGCGTTTGTTTCACAAGTGTGCTTGCAGCTATACTAGCCATTGCTCAGAAAACCTCTGTTATTGCCACTACGGACAAACACATTATCTTAAAACCAAAGTCTGAGCGTGACTGTGAAAAGCTACAGTAGGAAAAATCCAAATGTTTCACATAAGTGTGTGACCCCATACCCGAGCCTCAGGGCGATGTAGATCCCAACCCGTCACGGATCCGGACACCTTGTCTCCTCTGTCAGGTTGGGAGGTTGTTCTGGAAACAGCACGACATGCTTGGATAAACGTGCTTCTTAAGAATGTGATCCGCCCTTGTTTTATTGGCCTACCCATTGAGAAGGCTGTAAGCTTTAATGCTTCCTCCAAAAGCTGTCTAGGGCTCTAAGGGTTTCGCTGTGGGTGAGATGGAGGGGTACAGATTATCTGTTGGCCTCTGTGTTGGTTTTGAACTTTTTCATGTCTGATCTACGTTAAGCTTTCCCCTCTGCGCATAAGTGTAGTCATATGCTCTACCTTCATGTTGATCTAAGTAGGCATGAAGTGGGGCAACGTGAAAATCTAGCCCTCTCAGTGCACACTGGGTGCTTATGTGTTTCTCCACACCGTGTTAGAAGGCTTTTCACTTTGCTGAGAAAAAGTGGATATCTCAAAACCTGCGGCTGAGGAGATGCACTGGAAAATGAATAAATATTTTTCTCCAGAAACGACTGGCCAGCTTTAGCGATTGAATCTCCAGCACACATATTGCGTTGCTTTCTCAAGGCGACTCGAAAAATAATACTGCAGATATTTTTTAAAAGAATAGTTTAACCTGAAATGAAAATTCTGTTGTAATTAACTTATTCTCGTGTGTTTCCTGAAAACCTTTAAAAAAACATTTTAAAGTTAAAAAAATATATTTTTTTCATTCATACAATGGAAGTCAATGGTAACCAAAACAGTTTGGCTACCAACATTTTTCAAAATATCTTCTTTAATGTTCCACAGAAGAAAGAAAGTCATACAGGTTTGAAACGACATGAGGGTGATGACATAATTTTCATTTTTGGGCAAACTATCCTTTAAGTGCAGCCTGCGAGCACATGTGCGGCACAAACTTTTCTTATTACTTTCAATTGACATGAGTCTGTAGCTGCATGGCTTTGTGAAATGGGCGATCAGAATGTATCTCCATCAGGATCTAGCTAAATAAATACAAAATAAAGGCAATATAGCGGTATGGGTTCTGTACTCTCGGCTTATTAAAAGCATCTGTCTGTAGTTTGTGGGAGGGCATCCTGGCATACTCTCAACATCACTGTAAAAACTCTGTCCCTGTTTGGCTGCAACATTTCCCAATTTCATTTGAATGAAATGTGAGGCCATGTACCCGCTGAAAATAGAGAGGAGATATGGAAGCAATTATGGTATGTTAGGTCTGATTATCAGAAAAAATAGGTGATTTGTTGATCATATGGTGGACTCGCGCTTTTTCTCTCCCTCTCATCTCACACCTCACAAGAATTTATACATTTGGAGAACATTTATACCTCCTTGCTCAATCCTAGATGATTTCAAAGATCTCCAATTACAGTAAAATAAAACCAGGGTTCTTTTGTAACTATTTGATAACTGCAATGAAAACACATTCTACATTTTTCATCTTTGTCAAAATTCAGGTTAATTCGATTCAAGTTTATTTGTGTAGCGCTTTTCACGATACAAATCGTTGCAAAGCAAATTTACAGCAGATTAAGTTTCTACAATATTTAGTTCAAAAGTATTATAGTTTTGAACTAAGTATAGTTCTATATTTTAAAATTAATCAACGTTCTCTTTTCTCTTTAATCTCAAAGATGACGTCAATTTACATACGATAAGAGCACTGTTGCCCAGTCCTGATTCTCATGCATGTGAAGACCTCTTTTTTTTTAGTGGTCAAAAGTTGTTCTTAATCATCAGATCTTGGCTCAGCTTTTTTGTTTGTTTCGGTCTGCATGCACAGAAAAGCTGGCAGGGCTGTTGCTGTTTTAATTTGTTTCCTAATTCGTTAAACAAGTGTTAAAATGCTCGTTAAGCACTTGCGGTTGACAGAACAGGGTAATTCTCAGACTATCTGAAATACAAGAAAGCCATGAATTGAGTGTTTTC